CAATGTGCTGAGATTACAGGCATGAGCCACTGCACCCAGCCTGCTCTCTATTATAACAGAATACAATAAATACTGCTTATATTACCACAGCTTTAACTAGAATATCATACTTGAAAATGTGCATAGAAAGCCTGCCTTCAAAGATTCCCAGCCTTACAGTGAATGAGTAAAATCTGTCACTTCCTGGCAGGCCCAGGAACCTTATGACTGTGCAGTAAAATCTAAAGTCTGCCTTGGTTTTCCTTCCTAGCCTCAAACGGTTTTTAAACCTGGTACTCCTATGTGATCACTGTAAAGAGAAAATTTTGTTTCTAAAAAAAGATATAGTACACCTGTTACTAGACTGTAGCCCTGTGCATTGCTTTTGAGTTCTCATTACCTACTTGTATACTGGATTAGCTCCTGAATTCTAGATTCCTCCAATCCAACTTTCTTCCATGAAATTATTAAAAATGGGCACTGCTCTGTTCCTGAAGCCCTGTAAGTTGAAACTAGATGAACTTTAATGGACAAGCCTTGTGCCTAATGTATGAGTCACACAGAAAGTTCACCAAACCTCTCAATGCTGTAACCAGAGACATTCAAACTGCAAACCAGGATAAGAAGTTGATGGTTTCATACTGTAGATAGTTTTTCCGAAGACACTGGAACAAGATTCCATATCATTTTGAGACTCTTACCTGTTTTTTGTTTGTTTTGTTTTGTTTTTGAGAAAGAGTCTCGCTCTGTTGCCCAGGCTGCAGTGCAGTGGCGCAATCTTGGCTCACTGCAATCTCCGCCTCCCGGGTTCACGCCATTGTCCTGCCTCAGCCTCCCAAGTAGCTAGGACTACAGGCATCCGCCACCACGCCCAGGTTAATTTTTTTTGTATTTTTAGTAGAGACGTGGTTTCACCATGTTAGCCAGGATGGTCTTGATCTCCTGACCTCATGATCCACCCATCTTGGTCTCCCAAAGTGCTGGGACTATAGGCGTGAGCCACCGCACCCGGCCAACTCTTACCCATTTTAATGTCTGCTTTTTTTCACTTGGCAGGATAATGGTGTAATTGAAATTTCACAATCAGTAGCTTCTGCTGGTAACTTGACAGAATCTGACTCAAGAGATCCTTTAGGCCACTTCGTGGATGACTTTGGCAACATCCCTAACAGAACTATTGATCACAACAAACAAACAACAAAACCCTAAAAAACTGTTGCTCACTCTGTTTTAACTCAACCCAGTTATGGCATAGTAGGTGGTAAAAACTGAGCTATATTATCTATTCACAAATGTTGGTGCTATTGCTAATACTACACACTGTACCCGGATACATTCCTCTGGGAAGCTGAGACCCAAATACAAAAAATAAAGCAGGCCTCATGGTTACAATAGGTCTCATCTAATTCCCAACGGGCATTTGATTTATTCAATTGGTTGTCCTTAAGCCTAGGTTCATGTCTCAGAATTTTTTTTTATTTTTATTTTTATTTTTTTTGAGACAGGGTCTCACTCTGTTGCCCAGGCTGAAATGCAGTGGTGCAACCTTGACTCACTGCAGCCTCAACTTCTGAGGCTCAAGCAATCCTCCTGCCTCAGCCTCCCCAGTAGCCTGGGACTATAGGCTCATGCCACTGTGCCTGGAGAATTTTTGTACTTGTTTTTGTAGAGATGAGGTTTTGCCAAGTTGCCCAGGCTGGTCTCGAACTCCTGGGTGCAAGCAATCCACCCACCTTGACCTCCCTAAGTGCAGGGACTACAGGCATGAGCCACCTTGCTGGGCCTCTTAGAACCATAATGCAAACTAAGATTATCATATTGCTATTAACATTACTTCCTATTTTCCTATTTATTTATTTTATATTATTTTTGGAGACAGAGTCTCATTCTGTAGCCCAGGTTGGAGTGCAGTGGCACCATCTTGGCTCACTGTAACCTCTGCCTCCCAGGTTCAAGTGATTCTCCTGCCTCAGCCTCCCGAGTAGCTGGGATTACAGTTGCGCACCACCACGTCTGGCTAATTTTTGTATTTTTTGTAGAGACAGGGTTTCGTGATGTTGTCTAGGCTGGTCTCGAACTCCTGGGTTCAAGCAATCTGCCTGCCTTGGCCTCCCAAAGTGCCGGGATTACAGGGGTAAGCCATCATGCCCAGCCCTATTTTCTTTTTAAACTTTATACCTGTTACTTTTTAAATTTTTGGTGAAGTACCACTCCTAACAGAATAATGCTGACCCAGAAGTTTGCAATGATAACAAATGCCTATGGAACAGCCAAAACTGAACTTAATACTGAACTCCAGGTAGACTTATCTTGAGAGCCACTCCTTCAAAACCTCCCTTGCTGCTTAAATGTGGCTAAAAGGTATTTGGGGTTTTTTGAGACAGGGTCTTGCTCTGTCACCCACGTTGGAGTGCAGTGGTATAATCACAGCTCACTATAACCTCAAACTCCCGGACTTAAGTGATTCTCTACCCAACTCTCCCCCACACACTCCCCAACCAATGCCTGGATAATTTTTTTTTTTTTTTTTTGAGATGGAGTTTTGCTCTTGTTGCCTAGGCTGGAGTGCAATGGCGTGATCTCAGCTCACCACAACCTCCGCCTACCCGGTTCAAACAATTCTCCTGCCTCAGAATCCCTAGTAGCTGGGATTACAGGCATGTGTCACTATGCCCAGCTAATTTTTGTATTTAATTAAATTAATTAATTAATTTTTTTTGAGACGGAGTCTCACTCTGCCACCCAGGCTGGAATGCAGTGGCATGATCTTGGCTCACTGCAGGCTCCACCTACCCGGCTCACACCATTCTCCTGCCTCAGCCTCCCGAGTAGCTGGGACTATAGGCGCCTGCCACCACGCCTGGCTAATTTTTTGTATTTTTAGTTGAGACAGGGTTTCACCATGTTGGCCAGGATAGTCTCCATCTCCTGACCTCATGATCTGCCCGCCTCGGCCTCCCAAAGTGCTGGGATTACAGGCATGAGCCACCATGCCCGGCCCTGCCCGGATAATTTTTGTATTTTTTGTAGAGATAGGGTTTTGCCACGTTGCCCAGGCTGGTCTCAACCTTCTGGACTCAAGTGATACTCCCTCCTTGGCCTCCCAAAGTGCTGGGATTACAGGCGTGAATCACTGCTCCCAGCCACTACAAGGGTTTTGATACTGACTCCTAGTCACCAATAATTCCCTTCAACATGACAAGAGACCAACAACCCAAGATAGGTCCATCCCAGCACTGGGGGACCTAACTACAGGATGACCGATCATAAGTCTTTTGGAGAAAGATCTTGACCAAAAGGGGGAAATATGAAAGCTGTTAGAATCAAAACACAGTCGTTTGTGTTAAAAACTCTGACAAATTTAAAGCGTGATTCTCCAATGGGAAAAAAAACAAGAACAACTCTGACAAAACCAAGGAAGGTCATGAAAAGAGGGTTCTCATGCACAAATGACTGATAACAAGATCAGAAAAAAATGCAAAAACCACAACCCTGCACAGAGACCATTGCAGACTTACACAGAAAAATATTTCTGTGAGGACATCTGCCCTGCAACTGCCTGTCCAACCTCAGACTGGCACCACTCTTACTATTCATCCTTGTAGCCAAGGATAACTATCTCAAAATAATTATGCAATCCTCATTTTTCCTTTCAAAACCTTACCAAATACGTACAGAGGTTACTACGGCACACATATTCTCACTACAATGTCTATTCCCAAGTAAACATCATTTTTTAAGAGTCTCTCACTCTGTTATTTAGGTTGACAGTACCTACCACATTCTAGGCACTGTTCTAGAGGCAGGAATACAGCAATAAATAAGACAAGCAAAAATCTCTGCACTCATGGTACTTAGGTCTCTAGTAGGGATAAAAAACAATCAATACATTTGTAAAACAATCACAGAAGGATGAGAGGGTGTTGGTCAGGTGCAAGATTACATCAAGTGGTCAGGAGAGCTCTCACACTCAGATTACAACTCCCCAATGTTACCAATGTGAAATCAAGGCACAGAAAAATGAGATGACTGCCCAAAGTCACACAGCTATTTCCAGGCCGAACCAAGAGTCTGTTTGGCTCTAAGTCCAGTGCTCTGTCTTCTGACTCTTTCTAAATGAGCACAGGCTACCTGAGATCAGAGTTGGCTACTGAACTACCAGGAGATCTGCCCCAGGGGAGAGACGCTCAGTTACAGACAGTGAGGGGCTGCAGAGGTCATCCGGAGAACCCCCTACCCCCAAGCAGACGAGTAAGTGAAACCTAGAGAAGGAATAGTTCAAGTTCACCCAGGACCCCCCACATTCCACCTCCTGCTCCAAACTCAAGGGAACCAGAACCAGGCTAGGGCAAAACTTTAGGGGACAAGGAGAATACCAGACAGCTGACAATGGCTGAAGCAGGGAAGTGGGAAAGAAAACCCAGAACAGCAGACTGCGGGACAGGTCCTGCTTTCTCTACTGTTACACTCACTTTTTCAGCCTCTCAATCCCGATCCTGCCCTGTGCGTCCCCCAGAGCTCCTCCTGGCTCAGCATGAGGCTCTGAACTCCTGCAAGGTACCTGGTAGTGGCGGGCCTTGAGTCGGCTACCGGGGTCGGGGGCCCGGGTGGTTGACCCCGAGCCTTCGGGGCTCCCGGAGGAGGGAGCTAGCCCTTTCAAGGAACAGAGGCGTCCAGGTCCACGAAACTCCCTCCCCACCACCTGCGGCCGGTTCGGGGCCCTCGGTTCTCTCATTATCCTCCCCAGGAACCTGCAGCCCCCCGCCCCTACCGCCACCTACCTGGCCAGGCAGTGCAGGAAGGGCAGGTGGCCGAGTCCTATGCGAGCAGCTGGGCTCGAAGTTCCAAGAGACTAACAGCAAAGGCACTGAAAGCAGCAGCACCCAGCTAGCAACCAAGAGCAGACCGCCGAGCGCCGTCCCGCCCACCGCGCTGCTCCCGGCCAATGAGCGCGAGCCGCGACGCCGGGCTCCGCTGGCCTCACTTCCGGCCCTGCCCCACCGCCCCGCTCCGCCCCGCCCCGCCCCGCCCCGCCCGACTCTGGCGTACCTCCAGCGCGCTGTCCGCCCCGGCCTCGTCCTACCCCTCCTGCGGGAACCGGGTACGTGGCCCTGGATTTAGCTTGGGTTGAAGGAAGTTAAATCTGCAGGTGGGGTCTGTGCCCAATTTAAGGTGTGAATCAGCAAACAGGGGCCCCAGCTCCTGTCGGCCGGGTGACCTTTTGCACGCCCTCCTCGAAACTGTGTCGTCGTCTGTGGCCGAGTTTTTAGATTTTAGATCGCAAGGTGACTTTAGTGGGCGGTGACTAGCACTTTTCTTTTTTAAGGACCTCACACAGACGTAGTGCAGGGTTCGGGAATCCGTTGCTTGCCCCTCCGGTCCAACTAATAAACCAAGTGCGTCGTGGGCTTCCCCGTCCGTTCGTTAGGCCGAGTGCAGCCCCACTTTTACGCAGGATCAGGACAGCCAGACCCGAGGAGGCAGCGTGGCGTGGCCATCTCCGGGCCCGGGGCCCCTGCCGGGGGGAAAGGGAGCTAGAGGCCCGGTCTGGGTTGAGCGCAGACCTCATGCCGGGGCCGAGCTGGACATGGATTCCCAAGATTTATCCACAAGGGTGCATAAACACCAGTTCTGATGATGGCTGTATGGGAAGGGACAGAGGGGACCTACTTTAGCCAGGGAAGGGCTGAGGCTGGGACAGTTTCGTTCTGATAGGAAAGTTGAGAATTTGACCCTCTTTGCCTGGAAAGTTTACCTCTGTCCACCTCCATGTGAGGCGAGGGAGCAGGTCAGCTGCCTCTCGGAGCACTTGGATCGCAGCAACCCCAACCCCTAGGCCTTTCTCTGCCCTGCCAGCCCCAGGATGGCCTGACTGGTGTTCTCTGAGTACAGCTGAGGCACCCAGCTGACTCCCTGAGTGCTGTTTCAAGAACGAATCCTGTCCCATCCCTCCCTCCCTGAGGAGGCCATCAGTCTCCTTGCTGAAACAATCCCCTATCCAACTGGCTGAGAAACCAGCTCCTGGTAGACAAGGCAGTACGGTGTTTTGGAGAGCCCATGCAGGTATGTGAGTGTATCATTTTATTTCCTTATTCTGTTTCAACAATGGAGTATATGGCTCCATATGAATAGCAACTGTCATCCATTTCCTCAACAATTATGCTGTTTGTCTCCAGGTCTCATTCTCTCTCCATTTCTGGGCCTTCAAGTCCTGAGGATCAGTTTCTGATGTGGGACAGGGATACAGCCACCCCTCCCAGGCAGCTGGCAGCAAAACATGAGAGGAAAACAGCAGAGAGGTAGGGCCAACCATGGGGGCATCACACTTCCAGAGCCCAAAACAGGCAAGAATGGTCAGGCAAGAACAGAGGTGCTCCTAAGAATAGTGGGATGGATTCTAAAATTGGGTCGTGAACACCTGGGCTAGGTAGTTGCTATTCAACAGGGAACTATTCCAAGGAAGGGGCAAGGAGGAGAACCAGGGAGGCAGCCACAGGGGTGCGGAGGAAGCAAACTACCCTCACACATACCTCTGGACTGCAGTGTCTCTGGGTGCAACCACCCACCAGAGGGCCTCTGACCACTGCCACAGCCCCCCAAAAAAGCTTGCTTTTTTTTTTTTTTTTGGAGACATAGTCTCACTCTATTGCCCAGGTTGGAGTGTGCAGTGGCACAATCTTAGCTCTCTGCTCACTGCAACCTCCGCCTCCCGGGTTCAAGCGATTCTCCTGCCTCAGCCTCCCAAGCAGCTTGGATTACAGGCGTGCACCACCATGCCCAGCTAATTTTTGTGTTTTTAGTAGAGATGGGGTTTCACCATGTTGGCCAGGCTTGTGGCAGAACTCCTGACCTCAAGTGATCCACCCACCTTGGCCTCCCAAAGTGCTGGGATTACAGGTGTGAGCCACTGTGCCCAGCCCCCAAGCTTTCTTTTCTTTTTTTTTTGAGATGGAGTCTTGCTGTGTCACCCAGGCTGGAGTGCAGTGGTGCGATCTTGGCTCACTGCAGCCTCTGCCTCCCAGGTTCCAGTGATTCTCCTGCCTCAGCCTCCTGGGTAGCTGAGATTACAGGTGCACACTACCACGCCCAGCTAATTTTTGTATTTTTTAGTAGAGATGGGGTTTCACCATGTTGGCCAGGCTGGTCTGGAACTCCTGACCTCAGGTGATCCACCGACCTCGGCCTCCCAAAGTGCTAGGATTGCAGGCGTGAGCCACATGTCTGGACACCTGAAGGTAATTTTATGCAGTGTTTTAAATAATTTTGTTCATGGGCCAGGCACGGTGGCTCATGCCTGTAATCCCAGTACTTGGGAGGCCAAAGCAGGCAGATCACCTGAGCTCAGGAGTTTGAGACAAGCCTGGGCAACATGGTGAAACCCTGTATCTACAAAAAACTTCAAAAATTAGCCAGGCATGAGAGCTACTTGGAGCTACCTTCAAGTAGCTGAGACTGGTGTAGCTCACTTGCAGTCTCAGCTACTTGGAGGGTTAAGGCGGGAGGATCCCTTGGGCCCAGGAGGTGAAGGCTACAATGAGCTATGTTCACACCACTGCACTCCAGCCTGGGTGACAAAGCAAGATGCTGTCTTAAAAATAATAATAAATAAAAGAATATTAAAAATATAATTTTATTCATACAACAAAATTTTTTGGTTTTTTTCTGGGACAGAGTCTTGTTTTGTCACCCAGGGTGGAGTACAGTGGTGTGATCTCAGCTCACTGCCCTCCACATCCCCGACTCAAGCTATTCTTGTGCCTCAGCCTCCCGAGTAACTAGGACTACAGGCACATGCCACCACACCCAGCTAATTTTGGTATTTTTCATAGAGATGAGATTTCACCATGTCGGCCAGGCTGGTCTCAAACTCCTGGCCTCCAGTGATCTGTCTGCCTAGGCTTCCTAAAGTGCTGGGATTACAGGCATGAGCCACCGCACTTGGCCTATTCATGAAACAAAGTTTTGACTACATTTTGACTGCAACTCAGCACGTGAAGTCAGGTATGGAATTTTCCACCTGTAGCATCACATCAGCACTCAAAAAGTTTCAGATTTGGAGCACTTTGGATTTCTAATTTTTGTATTAGGGATGCTCAACCTGTACTACAACTACCTTAACACTCCTAGCTGATGTGAGGATTAAATATAATGCATGTAGCCAGGCATGGTGGCTCACGCCTGTAATCCCAGCACTTTGGGAGGCTGAGGCAGGCGGATCACAAGGTCAGGAGTTCGAGACAAGCCTGTCCAATATGGTGAAACCCTGTCTCTACTAAAAATACAAAAAAAGGCCGGGCGCGGTGGCTCAAGCCTGTAATCCCAGCACTTTGGGAGGCCGAGACGGGTGGATCACGAGGTCAGGAGATCGAGACCATCCTGGCTAACACGGTGAAACCCCGTCTCTACTAAAAATACAAAAAACTAGCCGGGCGAGGTGGCGGGCGCCTGTAGTCCCAGCTACTCCGGAGGCTGAGGCAGGAGAATGGCGTAAACCCGGGAGGCGGAGCTTGCAGTGAGCTGAGATCCGGCCACTGCACTCCAGTCCGGGCTACAGAGCAAGACTCCGTCTCAAAAAAAAATAAAAATAAAAATAAAAATACAAAAAAAAAGAAAATAGCTGGGCCTGGTGGCAGGCGCCTGTAGTCCCAGCTACCTGAGAGGCTGAGGCAGGAGAATTGCTTGAACCCAGGAGGCGGAGGTTGCAGTGAGCCAAGATTGTGCCACTGCACTCCAGCCTGGGTGAGAGAATGAGACTCCATCTCAAAATAAAGAAATATATATTTATACATACATATATATATAATGCTTGTAATGTGCCTGGTCTTTGTAGGAACTTAATATTAACAGGACACGGCATTGCTGTTGTCAACACTGTTAATTATCCTCACTGACCCCTGCTTACTTTAGAAGACAAGACTATAGTGCACCTATGTCCTGAAGCATGATGCCACAGCTTCTTACGGCCTGGGAAAGCTTGCCCAGGCCAAGGCTCCCAGATACAAGAAAGGATACAGCATGTCCTGCAGGGGTGGCTGGCCTGAGGAGGTGCTAAGGGGAAGGCCCTCCAAAGAGGCCTGCAGGGTCTGGGCCATGCTGTGGTCAGCCAGGTGTCCCATGCTCTGGAGCTGCAGGGAGAAGAGGGCAGGGAAGACAGGCCTCCTCAGTGCCCACTCCACTTAGGCCCTAACTGCCTCCATCCTCTGTACTTCCAGCCTCCCATTCCTTGGCTGCTGTGGTCAGAGCTCCCACCCTCCAAGAGAAGATGGTCTTAAGGATCTAGCTTTACAGTGGCTGCATGGCCTCCCCTTCCCACCCACCTGCTGGAAGAAGCCATGCAGGGCCTGGAGTGTGGTGTTCGAGAGGGTAGACAGGTCAGCCAAAGCCACACCTTGCAGAACATCACCCACCTCTTCATGAGAGAGGACACTGCTACTCCGGTACCGCATAAACTGGCCCAGGAAGAGAAGCCCCAAACACCCAGTGATTTGGCATCTCTATCATAGACATCTGCTGTGCCCCAACTTTAGGGGACACTGTCGTGAGGCCCACAGAACCTGCCTGCCTTCAAGGAGCTCAGAGTTAGTGGGCAGAGGTGGGGCTATGTCATGGGGAAGTGGGGTAAGTAAGGCAAACTGTGAGATCCTGAGAGAGTTGGCCCTCCTGGCCCCTTTGGCCTTGGCTCCCTCCTCTCCAACATTGCACTGAACACTCAGGGCCAAAATGAACTGCGTGTGGCTCCCCTGACATACCACCATGTGCTCTTGTACCTGTTGTTCTTACTTCACTACCTGGAACACCTTTCCTCCTCTCTGCCTATTAATCTCTCAAGCCACAGCTAAAATGTTTCCTTCACTGCTCAGAAGCAATTACTCTTTCCTCTTTGTTCCTACACCAACCACTGATGTACTTGTTGATTCACTTCGCTGTCATTCTTAGGCTCGCTGCTTTGTTATTTATTCAAGGGGCACTTACTGTGTGCCTCGCAGTTAGCATCTCCTCTAGTCTACCACTTGTAGTGTCATATTTACATTACTAGTTTACTTGTCTATCCTCCTCTTTAGACTGAGGGACCCTAAAGTCAGAGTATCTGGTTCATTGACGTCCTTAGTATCTAGCAGACCTGGCATGTGGTAGACAGGCCCTGGTCAACATGTCATGAGAGAAATAGGGGAAAGGGTGTCGGGGTCCCCTGGCGTGAGGAGATATGGGCATTCAGAGGAATTCTTTCAGCAGGCCTCTTGCAGGGTGAAGGCCTGCCCAGCCCTTCCACCTTCTTTGAGGATTAGGGTTTCCTAAAGTAAGGAGACCCTGGCCTCTTCAGCACCACCCAGCTCATGACACTCCTCAGACCACAAGATATCCTTTCTGTACTTACCAGGGTCATGAGCCTCAAAATCTCAGGTCTGAGGAAGGAATTCTCTCCAGCATCCAACAGTGTAAACAGCAAAAACCGATTCCAAGGCTGGGAGGCCACGTGAAGAGCTTCAAGAAACACTGGGTTGTTAATGCTTCCAAGGCCTTGCCTTGGGACACTGCTCAAGAGGACTTTCTCCTATTGGCTTAAAAAGGGGCTACCCAGTTAGAGGCAGGGCACTGGAGAAGCTGACCCAAGGAGGGTTCTTTCTTTGCTGTGCTTCTAATCCACCTATGTTGGCTGGCTCAGTGAAACTATATATGCCATGATTGTGGAAGGCAGGTAGTAAGAAGGGCTCTGCCACTTAAGAGCATTGTGACCTTGGTTGGGCACATCAATTGACCTCTCTGAACCTTATTGATCTCATCTGTATAATGGGCATGACTGCCCTTGCAGTGCTGCTAAAAGAATTAAACAAAACAGGCCGGGCGCAGTGGCTCACGCCTGTAATCCCAGCACTTTGGGAGGCTGAGGCGGGCGGACCACTAGGTCAGGAGATCGACACCATCCTGGCTAACACGGTGAAACCCTGTCTCTACTAAACATACAAAACAAAAATTAGCCGAGCGTGGTGGTGGGTGCCTGCAGTCCCAGCTCATCAAGAGGCTGAGGCAAAAGAATGGCATGAACACAGGAGGCGGAGCTTGCAGTGAGCCGAGATCGCGCCACTGGACTCCAGCCTGGGCTACAGAGCGAGACTCCGTCTCAGAAAAAAAAAAAAAGAATTAAACAAAACAAGTGTGAGTCACACAAGGGGATGGGAGGCTGGAACAGAAGGACGGAAGGGTATGGCTCCCTCTAATCTCTCTCATGGAAACATCGAGAATGTGGAGAGTTTCTACCTATGTCTGGGCTCCGGGCATCCACGTAGTCAAGCAAGGCTTCTAGGCAGCCAACACAGGCCTGGGACAATAGAGGGTCCCTCTGCAGAAAATAAATAAATAAATAAATAAAATTCAGGTCATGTTTTGCTACCAGTGGCTTTTGGTGCCAACCAAGAAAAAACATTTGGTTTTCAGAGTTATTTGGATTTCAGAATTTCAGATTTGGGATTATAGCCCTGTAGATAATCAAGAAATGTTTGTTGGCTTAATCTCTCACCCTCATAACAGCACAGTGCTTATACTGTGTGATTTACCTACATTCAAGACAGTGCTTTGGGCAAGGCACAGTGGCTCACGCCTGTAATCCCAGCACTTTGGGAGCCCAAGGTGCCCGGATCAACTGAGGTTGGGAGTTTGAGACCAGCCTGGTCAACATGGTGAAACCCCATCTCTACTAAAAATACAAAAATTAGCCGGGTGTGGTGGTGTACACTTGTAGTCCCAGCTACTGAGGAGGCTGAGGCAGGAGAATTGCTTGAATCCGGGAGGCGGAGGCTGCAGTGAGCTGAGATTGCACCACTTGCACTCCAGCCTAAGCAACAGAGCGAAACTCCATTGTGGTGGCTCACGCCTGTAATCCCAGCATTTTGGGAGGCTGAGGTGGGTGGATCACGAGGTCAGGAGTTCAAGAGCAGCCTGGCCAAGATGGTGAAACCCTGTCTCTACTAAAAATACAATAAAATAGCTGGGCGTGGTGGTGGGGGCCTGTAATCCCAGCTACTCAGGAGGCTGAGGCAGAGAACTGCTTGAACCCGGGAGCAGAATGAGCCACAATCACTCCACTGCACTCCAGTCTGGGTGACAGAGCGAGACTCCATCTTAAAAAAAAAAGAGTGCTTTGTTTCAGAAAAGAAGATGGACCCTGGGCCACACTAAAATATTCATAGATTACAGACCCTGGAAGAGCCTCACAGTTTACTTAAGCCAGTGGGTTTCAACCTTTTTTTTTTTTTAAAGCAACAGGACCTTTCATCAAAATTGTATGCTTTAATAAGCACATGCAAATATTTATCATTAGTCATTAGGGAAATGCAAATTAAAACTACTAAGAGGTACCCCTGTACATCTACCAATAGCTAAAGTTAAAAGACTGACAACACCAAGTGTTGAGGAGAATGTGGAGCAGCTGGCACTCATACATTGCTGGTGGGAAGGTAAAATGGTGCAGCCACTTTGGGAAACAATTTGATGGCTTATTATAAAGTTAAACATATACTTATCATCCCCATAACCACCCTTATCACTCCAGTGCCCTATAGCCCTTCTTCAGAGCCCTCTGCTGCCACTGACCTGCCCCTTCACCCCATGTGACCCAGCATGGTGGACCCTGGACACTCTCTCTATTCTTATTTCAGCTAACACTTTCCTCCACCGTGATCCATTCCTAGGGGAATAGAGGCTGTTCTCATGTCAAAACACCCCTTTTATTTTGCAGATGGAGAACATGAAGATTAGTAAGAAGTGACTTGCTAAACATCTTCAGAGTCAGAGGCTGGGCAGGGGCTTTGGCACAGATCCCTGTGACTCTAGATACTATATCTTCCACTGCACTGCACTGGGCCTCCCAACTGCTGAAGATTCTGCATAGCTGATCAGCACTCAGTTTGTAGTGCTGGTGCCGCCAGGCTGCTTTGGCTTAGAGGTGTCAAGGAGGACCAGCACCCAGAGCTCTAGCTTAGGCTTCATTGTCATTTTTCTCCCTTGACACCAGTTTTTAAAAGTACAATTTTACTGAGATATAATTCACAAACCATGATACTCATCCTTTAAAGGATATAATTCAGTAGATTTTTTTATTATATCCACAGAGTTGCACAGCAATATAATTCCAGAATATTTTCATCACCCCTGAAAAGAAACCCCATACTCAGCAGTCACTCTTCGTTCCCCCATCCCTCCACTCAGCCCTAGGCAACTACTAATCTACTTTCTGTCTCCATGGATTTGCCTTTCCCAGACATTTCTCATAAGCAGAATCATAATATGTGCTCTTTTGTATCTGACTTCTTTCACTTAATGTTCTCAAGGTTCATCCATGTTGTAGCATGTGCCAGTGCTTCATTCCTTTGTATGGTCAAATAGTATTTCATTGTATGGATATACAATTTGTCCATTCATCAGTTGATGGACATTGGGGTTGTTTCCACTTTTTCATTATTATGAATAGTGCTGCTATGAACATTCAGATACAAGGTTTTGTGTGGACATTCTCTACTTTCCTGCCAACACTTGCTATTATCTGTGTTCTTATTTTAGCCACCCTCATGGGTATGAGAGTGGCCTAGCTGTCATCTGCATGTATAGCCTCTTGTTCTTACCTCCAGGCACTCTCCTTGCCCCCATCTTCCCTACTGTGGCTAAGAGGGAACTTTCTTTTTTTCTTTTGAGATAGGTCTCACTCTGTCACCCAGGCTGGAACTCAGTGGCATGATCACAGCTCACTTCGGCCTCAACCTCCTGGGCTTAGGCGATCCTCCCATAGCCTCCTGAGTAGACGGGACTACAGGCACGTGCCACCACGCCCAGCTAATTTTTTGTATTTTTTATAGGGATAGGGTTGTGCCGTGTTGCCCAGGCTGGTCTGGAACTCCTAGACTCAAGCAATCCACCCACTTTGGCCTCCCTGAGTGCTAGGATTATAAGCGTGAGCCATAGTACCCAGCTTGAGAGAGAACTTTCAAACACACAGTCTGACAGACGTCCTTCCACAGTTCGCACAGTGATTTTTAGCCTAGCGTGTGAGGCACGGCTCAGTTTGGCTCTGCCCAGCTTTTTCTCTCATTTTCTACCTCATCACACCCCACACCCCAGCATGCACTTTCAGACTATGTGATTTTGTACATGCTGTTGTCCTGCTGGAATGCCCTTCCCTCTATACCTCTGCCTAGACACCTTTCAAGGCTGAGTTCAGATGTCACCTCTGTGAAGCCTCCCCTGACTTCCCACACAGGGGACATTTTTGCCTAAAAGAAGTTTTCAGACTGGGCGTGGTGGCTCGCCTGTAATCCCAGCACTTTCAGAGGCTGAGTTGGGCAGATCACAAGGTCAGGAGTTCGAGACCAACCTGGCCAATATGGTGAAACCCTGTCTCTACTAAAAATACAAAAATTAGCCGGGTGTGGTGGTGGGTGCCTGTAGTCCCAGGTGCTCAGGAAGCTGAGGCAGGAGAATCACTTGAACCCGGGAGGCAGAGGCTACAGTGAGCTGAGATCGTGCCATTGCACTCTAGCCTGGGCGACAGAGTGAGACTCTGTCTCAGAAAATAAAGAAAAAAAGAAGTTCGCAGTTTTGTGGAAGAAGACAATGTAAACCACTGATCATATAATAAAATATGATTAATGTGATACTCAATACACAGCAGAATGAACCATTCTGGGGGCTAAAGGGAGAGGGATTTCCTCTATTGCTGGGTTACTGGAATAAATATTTGCTGAATGTATGAATTACTGAACAAATGAATGAACAAATGAATAAAAAGCTAGTTTTAAGACTGGGCGCAGTAGCTCACACCTGTAATCCCAGAACTTTGGGATGCCGAGGCAGGCGGATCACTTGAGGCCAGGAGTTTTGAGACCAGCCTGGCCAACATGGCGAAACCCTGTCTCTACTAAAAATACAAAAAATTAGCTGGGTGTGGTGGCAGGCACCTGTAATCCCAGGTACTCGGGAGGCTGAGGCATGAGAATCTCTTGAAACTGGGAGGCAGAGGTTGCAGTGAGCCCAGTGAGCCGAGATCACACCACTGTACTCCAGCCTGGGCAACAGAACGACAGTCTGTCTCAAAAAAAAAAAAAAAAAAAAGCTAGCTTTAAACAACAAACTGGTTGAAATGAAGGAGGCTTAGCTACAGCCATGAGGTCTTGGGCAGTGACAGAGGGGGCACTGTGGCTGAACACAGAAGGCCAGGAAATTTCTCGGGAGTGTGGCAATGAGAGAAAAGAGGAAAAGGCTAGTTGGTCCTGTTCACTAGGCAATTATGGGGCAGTGACTGTGAGGCTAAGACAGGCTCTTCAGCAGTACCCTCCTATAAGCAGGGTAGGCCCAGCAACTTCTACAGGGGGAGTCATGAGCTTCTCAGGTTGGTTTCTCCTTCCCAGGGACTGTTGAGAACAGACAGTCAAAAACTACCAGAGAGAC